TCAAGTTTAGTTCAGGGGTGAGCTACCCCTGCACTGCCTCCCTCCCCACCACCGGTTACCACGTCCTTGTTTAGGTGCCATCCCCCTCTCCTGGAGGTGGCGTATGCCCCGGGAGCTGAAGGTGTTCAAAATCAACCCGCGTTGTTTGTTTATGAAGCCCTGACTCGCTCGCGTTCCGTTCCGTTTTGCTTACGTGTCTACAGTATCCAGCGGTACTACCAATGTCACCTCCGTCCTCGAGATGCGTAATCATTTTGTGTACCAATCCTGTGTGTACAACAGCAGGTTCTGGGAGTGCGGGTTAAAAAACTTCTGTACTTTGGTAGCTTTTCGGCACATTTTTGTCTACAGCGAAATTTTCGTACGTGCCGGCCCTGTGACACATCAGTTTAGCAGCAAACATGCGGCTTTGGGAGGAGGCTGGCAGGGCGACGGCAGCCGGTGATACGGTCGTGTCCTTGGCCGGCGGCCGCGCACGCTCTCGCGCTGGACCGGCTGGTGCGGCTGGTCTGGACTGGTCGGCAGCCCTGGGGGCATGGGCGTGGACCTCGACCGATTGGTGGAGAGGAACGGCCGGGGACCCGAAACGCTTGGACGGGCCGTCGCAGCGGCGCTTGGCGCAGACCGCTAGCACACTAAAGGGTCGTGACAACTAAAACCTCCTGCATCTGCCAATCAAGGGTTGTGGTCGTTGCCGGGGGGAGAGAACGGCCCATAATAATATTGGGATTAACACCGCACCTATTGTCTGGCATGTACACACTGGACTCAAAGAATCCTGCTGTTGCCCTCCAACCTATGCCCATCCACCTAATTCCCCTTCCTCCGACCGTCAGCCTGCATGACGATGCCACCTACGTTTGGCCTCAGGCTGCTTCTTTGCCCAACAGCTCGGCGATGTTTAAAAGGAAATGCTTCACATCAGAAAATATTGAGACAAGCACCAGATAAGCTGAAATAAGCTCACTTATAGCTATTAATGTACTTTAAGTGGAAAGGGCTGCTGAAGACAACACAATATCTCTGTTCAGTGCATATGTTCCTCAATGCGCCATTGTTTAATTACGTCGTCGTACCTTGCACAATATGGGTTGGGAGTCAATGACGGCCATTTTATCAGGGAATCCTGCTCACGAGCGCCAGATATGAACGCCCCAACAATTATGGTTTTCTGGGCCCTGATCGCCGCATGGCCAATGAAGTGTCAAGATTCTGGTGGCGTTCTTATGGCGTTATAGATGCATGGGTGACTGAAATAGTATCCCGATATAGTTTGCACATCTTAGCGGGCGCATAGCTCAGAAACTGGAAGAGCTTGGGCATTAAGAAGGACAGGGCCACGAAATGCACCGAACTGTCTTCAGGGTGACATTTTCAGCTCAAAACCTCATACAAATGTGGAACACTCCCTTTAATCACCTCGGAGCCCCCCAACCTGCCGGTCATTCCCCAACGCAGAATGAATTGGCCACAGCCATCCACCTGGCACGGATGTGCCCGTGTGTACCTCGCGATACATTTAGCGATAGGCTCTGATTTCGCCAAAAACGACTAAAATGGTTAATTTGGATGCATAGACACCGAATCAGAGGCATAATTTGCGATACCAGGAAACCTCCAAGGTCAGATTCGAGGTCAAACGAAGAGGAACAACTCCATATCACACAGAGTTGCCAGGTGATTTTTGATTTTTAAGCTCCAAAATATTCATCAAGGCATGAACTAGCGTCCGCTAAAAAATTTCACATACGCAAAATCAAATTCAGGCTGAAGCGGCGGGGCACTCCACATCGCCGAAGACCTTCTGGCCGGTTTAAGATTTTTCAGCATGAGAACATTCATCAGCGCGTGAACTAGCGTCCGTCGAAAGGCCCTGAACTCTTTAATTTACTCCTTGAGGCAGGAGACTTCAAAATGAGCCGGTACTTCTGGGTAAGGCAGGACTACCCATCATTTAACCTTACTGGATGACTTTGGGGTGTCATAACGCTTTGCCAAACGCTAGTTCATATGCTTAAATCGGAAATCGGCCGGTGACTTTCGGGTGATGCGGAGTTCCGCGTCTTTTCGGCCTGAATTTGACATTGAATGATGGCCTCGAGAGGTCAGAACCTTTAGACGGACGCTAGTTAATACGTTGGCGAATATTTTGATGCCGAAAACCGAAATCGATCGATGACTTCTGGGTGATTTGGATTTCCTCATCATTTGAACGTGAATCTGACCCTGAAGGTGACGTGATATTGCAAAGTAGTCATCAGATTCGGTATTCTCGTGGAACGATGGACCATCTGGCGCGTATTCAGCGGAACCGGAACTCGTCAGTAAATAAATCGCTGAATAAACCCCCTACATAAATCGCCAACTTCACGACCCTGAGGGGCTCGGTCGTTTGCCGGTCACACCGCGCCAGCAGCACTCAGCCGGGGGTCCCGCCGCGACTACGCACCGGCGCTGACCGCCGGACTAATGACACGCTTCGGGTCTGCTCGGTCGGTGCAGGCGAGTCACGGCAGCAGCGGCCGGCCGCATGCCTCGTTACAGAGCGCGCGCCGCATGAGCACCGTGGCCGCGTCTATTTCGCGCGATATGAGCAGCGTAGAGTCGGGAATGAAGCAGCCTCAGTCCATGACATGGCGTCAGCGGGGGAGCAGGTACCGCCGTTGCACGAACCGCTGCATCAGTGCATCATGGAGACGATGTACGCGTGTCGTCAGTACTCTGCGCGATACTGTGATTCGTCTGTCGTCAGAATAAGATCTCTCTAGTCACAACGACTGGCAACAGTAGTGAGGGCCCAAAGGTGTCCTTCATCAGGCAAGGTTTATTTGGCTGGTCAATGCGGGTAGGTTCTACCTGTTCGCAGTCGTAACCACGCTGATCGTGCACTCATCCTCACATATATGTAACACGGGGACGGGCGTGAGGACAAGAATGTTTCTCCTACCAGTCACCAAAGACCCAGTGTCATAGAAGGTATCTACAAACATGCGCTTTTGGATCCAACGAACGCGCATACCTTTACTTTTCATGACCAGCCTAGTTTCTCCGACACGCATCTCTTACAAATTCGCTACGGGCCGAGATCCAAAGGTGCGTTGGCGCACATCTGGCCACCTGGTTGACAAATCTGATTTCCAAGGGCGTGCGCTCGCTGTCCTACTTCGTGAAACTGGGCTCTGGATGCACAGATATCGCGCAACTTCCTCTCCCTAAGCTTGTCATCCTGCCAAATCCCGTGCACAATCGCATCGCACACTTTCATAAACACCGACACCACACAAGACAATGGACAGCGTTTCTTGGCGCGTCAGTTTCGCGTCGGGTTTCTCTGTGCGCTGCGGTGTTGACCCACTGCCCGCGCGATGCCCCTCACCACCGTGCGACGGCGGACGGGCCGCCGGATGCGCTGCGGTGTGAGATGCTGCGGGCGGTCTTCCCGCGCCACCGGAAGTGGCGCGAAAAGTGGCGCAGCTGCGCGGGCCGGCCCTGTGACGGCTGATGTCTTATCGCGGGCGCTACCGCGGAGCGCCGCCCAGTCGCCGTTGTTGCATACGGTCGACCGGGCCGATTCGAGAAGCGAGCCCTCTTTCAGTGACGTTCGCCAAGACAATGACAACTGTTCGCGTTCACTAACGCTTCGGCACAAGTCTCGTTCCGAGGAGTGACAACACGTGGTTTGTGCGTTGGCTTATAAACAGTGAAATGTTACGCCCCGTCCTACCCTAACATTGTTTTGTCGGCTGTCCGTCACGCTCTGATACTGTCTGAGATGTCTGCAAGAAACATGACGGCTGTAGAGTGCACGTTATCTGTCTGCAAATGGAACACATCTGCCAAGGGGCTCAGCTCCGCCCGTCCGCAGTGCTGACTACCGATGCAGTTTAGAATGTTCGTCACGGTCGCCTTCGCAGAAACGCCTCGTTTATTTCCCCGAGTTCTGCAGCAGCCAGCGCGAACCGGCGAAATTTTCCGGATGTGTTGGCGGCCGGCGACGGGCCAGCTCGCGGCGCGCGCCGGCGGCGGGTTCCGCTCGCGGCCGTCCGGCCCGGGCAGGTCTGCACAAACAAACAGAGCGTCGTGGCAGGGCGGGACGGGCCGGGCTGCGGCCGGGCCCGGCCTTGCTGTCCGGTGTGCGCTGCGGCCGAGGCCGGCCGCGCCCACGGCACCTAAGCGACCGCGGCTCCGACGGGCTGGCGCCTCCGGTGCACACTCAAGCAGCCACACACCATTGAAGTGCCGATTGCTCACAGGGAACGAGTAAGGCATTCCTAGCGGTAGATGTTTCCAATCTCTTGCGGAAGCAAACATCTTCTCCCCCATCATCCACTTGTTCAATGTTGACGCAACATTATTGGTTTCGGGTAGGAGGAACTGAGAACTACCGAAAACATTTAGATTAGACCCACCCCCAAAGCAAATATCGCTCACCTGTGGACCCGCTTATTTAAGGGTTTGTAGGGGTGGCATGTTGGGGGGGGGGGGGGGACAGGAAGAATGGTTACCTTTTCCTTCCTCTCCTACGTTGGGAAATTCACTGGAAGTCCATCAGCATTGCTTGGAAGCAAACGCCATAAAACCGACAGCCCAGCACTAAAAATGTTCCGCTACTACCGTGCGCGCACACACTTAAACCAAACTGCTAAGGGCACAGGGTTTGTTGAATGCTGTTACCAATCCTGCACAGGCGACACGAGGGCAAGGGACGCCCGATGGCGGAAGTTCGCGTTCAGGGTCAGGCAGTGGCACTCCTCCGCGGCTTACAGTCTCCCCCGTCCCACCCGCCTGCAGGCTGACACGTCAGAGCACGCCGCTCCCCGGCACGGCGCCTGGCTGCGCCCCTGCCGCGCGTCCGGGAGCGGTCGGCGGTGGCCTCCCACGCGCCGGCGACTGCGGCGCGGCAGCGGGCGCCAGCTGGGCTCGGGACGGCGCTCACCGCCGGCGTCGACCGCAGGGCCCGGCCGCCGCTCGCTCGCGCCGATCGGTCGAGCAGCACGCCGTCGCAGTGGTGGATATTTATTACAAAACGTGGCGAACGCCGGCACGCTGCGGCACAGGAAGCACGGCTGGCGCGGAGCGGCGCCGAAAGTGTGGCCAACCAGGCCGAAAACGGGCGGTCAAAAACAGTCTCACATCTCCAGGCCGCAAATGGGCCGTCAAAAAAAAAAACAGTCTCACACCTCAGATCTCTTACAGAGAATATCCATGCTCAGGTTTGGACGGCAGGGTTCGTCGACGACAGCAGGCGCCAACAGGTGCAGCGAACACGTTCTGTGCAACACCCAGGCGACCGGCAAGCACTGGGAAGACGTGATTATTGCCAGGGCATACATCGCGCCTTACTCGCTCAGCAGAAATGCATATAAAACGATTAAGTACCCAACATTTGTGAGAAGATAAAATGTAAGTATCACAACGGGACGGGGTCAAAATGCGCGTAAAATAAATACCTCCACGAGGACAGCAACAGATCTACGTTAATATCTGTATCGGGCGGCCCCGCCTCGCCTCGCCTCGTTCAGCAGGAAGCGCCCCCGCAGCGGCTGGACGCCCGTTGTGCCGGTCCCGCCCACAGAACGCATTGTACTGCCGAAAGCAGCCGGGCGACAGCCGGAGACGAAGCGCTCCGCCCCCATTCCGACTAGCCGCCGGCCGCACGGCGTGGAGGCAGCTCACACCGAACACTTTCCCCGTCGGTTGGTCCCTGGGTGACGGCGGCCGCGGCCGTCTCGCGCGCGCTCTCCGCCGGCGCCGCTCACATGCCTGACTCAGCGATGCCCTCGTCGTCGTCGTAGGCCATGTTCGTGTGCGATTCGCGCAGCGGCAGGTCATCGTGCTCCTTGCCCTCGAGCACCACCTTGAGGCACGTGTGAATGCAGATGTACTGCACCTCCGTCTGCACCATCAGCACGCGTTCCTTCCGCATCTCGTACACCATGCCGAAGATGTCGATGTAGTCGTACTTGCGGATGTGCTGGATGGCGCGGTCGAGCGCGATGAATGTGCCCGAGCGGCCCACGCCGGCGCTGCAGTGCGTGATGATCGGCTTCTGGTCGTACGGCACGCGCTCACGGAACGCGCGCACGAACCGCACCAGCACCTGACGAACAGACGGGCGGAGGTCAACACAGGCTCCAGCCGAGCGCGGACACGATAGACATGGGTTAGTCACCGGCCACTTGCGGGGGGGGGGGGGGAGTCACAGGCAACATCTCCCCCGATATGTAGAATAACGTCCAAGCTGTTTCAGGTTAGCCAAAGAAATGTTCGACACCTGTTACGTGGCCAAGTTTGACGCCTGGTGTCCGATAGCCGTATATCATTTTGATGCTGCTGTACGCGTCAAACCCCTCGCTGAGCTATACCGCTGTTCTGAACAATCGTTGAAGCTTTGGCACGGCAACACTACATTTAAAGAATTCAAGGCAGAACCTGCCACGCCTGCGGAGTCAAAGCGGGTTCGGCTAGCACATAGCGACTTTCTTCAGCGGTCGTAACGAAGCCATTAAGTAGACCTGGACAGCGGCTTCACTGGTGTGTGACCTGAAGTCAGAACAGGGAGCCGTCCACCTCCGGAGTGAGCCGACTGGCCGGGCCTTAACGGATCCGAAAGTGGGCGGAGCTACGGGCGTGGCCAGGGGCCAAACCAGTGAGTCTGTACCCAGCTCAGATAGAACCGCAGCTGCTGGCCGATTTTGACTGGACTTTTGTGAGAATCGTCCCAGGATCTGCTCTGGTTCATTATGTTTAATTGAAAGCGATCGAGTTAAAATTTCAGCGCTGCGGACGCGCAGGGGTTCCTTGAATTGCTGCGCACGCGGTTCGCTCGCAACGGGATGCGAGTCAACCCGTCGAAGACGAAGGCATTCGCTCTTAGAGTACGACAGGGCATCAGAAGCCTTCTCCAAGATCGGTCGAATCAGGGTGGTATAGCGACGAAGGACAGCCCACTCTATCGCACCAACGACGTGACCATCTCGGCCGAGAAAAAATAGCACGGCAAGCGGCGGGGCTCTGACACAAGGCTGACAGCTTCACGGAATGTCTTGACGACGTTCAGGCCTCCGTTGAAGCCTGCCATCATTAAAGGAGATATACCATCTGTGCTGCCACCCGTGTAAAGCGCGCCACCATTAACCGATCATCTCTTAGCACAGCCGAAACAACTTGCTGAGGAGTTTGTACGCGACTAAGGTCATCCCGTCCGCACCCGACCGGTCCTCCGTATTCCACGCGCCTTCGCCCCTGGCCCTGCCCCCCCCCCCCCCCCCCCCCGTCACCTCCCGCCGGTCGTGAAGCACCCGAGGCCGTCGCCGCCGCCAGGTAATGGCGGCGACCGCAAGACCGCGGGTCACCGGACCGTGAAGCCGCGGCCTCGCCGCCGCGCATGCGCACGATTCGCACCTGATCGGGCGGGCCCGTTAGCGCAGGGGCGCGGCAGCACGGCGCGTGCCGGGGCTGTGTGAGCTGCGCTCGCGCCCGGAGCCGAGGCGGACAAAGGCGGGCCAAGCGCACGGCGGCTGGTGGACGTGCCGTCAGTGGACAAAGGGCGACAGAGCGAGAAGTGACAGCCGGACGTGCCGCGCCGCTAAAGCGCTTGGCAGATTGCAAACCGATGGTCGTATCGGCAGGCACGCTATACGCCAATTGATGTTTCCCCGCCCTTGCATGAAACAACCGGTAAAAACACGCTTCCAGCGACAGACGAGGCAGCGGCACGCAGCGCCCGGCTTGGCAATGAGCACGTCACGCGCTGGCCTCCAGCCGGGCGGCGGTTCACACACCGGGCACGCCGCTCCCGGTTGGAGGCCGGTCCAGACCAGCGGGCCGGCAGACAACGGGCGGAACACGGGTAGTTGGCCGATAAGCCTCGACAGCGGCTATTTGGAGCGACATCGCGGCGCGTTTAAGCAGTCCTGTACGCCATGATGGGCGTGCAACCATTGACATGCACCGTGAGCACGACTGCAAACTACTCCATACTTTAAAGTACGTGCCGCATGCGGGTGTTGGCAAGACAGCACCGTTCTCCAGGGCTGTAGAATCGTATTCAGTTGGGGGAACTTCAGCTCCCACCCTAACTTTGAGGAGAAAGTGGGCACTACCCGGGAGAAACTAGCTTGTTAGCGTATTTTAGGGTCAGGGAGGCATTTTCCGCGATTCAGTTCCCCAATTCATTTTGCGAAACTACGTCCTTGTCATTCCCCTCAACGGAACAAACGTCCTCCGCCAACTCATTCATTCCACCATTGTGATGAATATCCGTGTCCCATACGCACGGAGTAAATGCGACTGTCCTTGAGAAGCACATACAATAGTTGTCAAAGTAACACTCCGTACTGGACAGTGTAGAAACATTCCGTCACTTGAGTGACAATATTTTGGACATCCATTCATGTTATTGCACCTCCCATTCGGGGCTCCCAGCCTGTTACTCATCTCCAGCCCGCCTTGGGCTCAGCCAATCGGCATCGGGCCAGATGGCGGTCCACCCAGCGTTTATGCACCTTGGGCTTGGCAAACGGGACGGGCAGGTCAGGATGTCAGGGTTCCGTGCCAAAGGGCAACAGGTTTGCAGCCAACCAAACGTGGGTGCGGAGGTGGCCGAGGAGCCGGAAGTCTGGCAACGCGAATTAATATTTACAGCCTTGGCACCCAAACAGATCAATTGTGGGACACTTCGACGCATTCTCGCTTCTCCTGACTCCAGACCTACCAGTCTCCACGAGCTCTAATTAGTGAATCATGTCTGCCAGTGTCTCGCCTCCGACGACCCCAAGCTGACAAATTCCCCCGCAATGCGCGAAAATCTCTGGGGCCATGTCATTGCCAGCCCCTTTCGCGTCGCAAATCAGTGTTGCCAGGCGTCGTGGATGGTGGCTTGGAACCTGTCATTCAGAGAGTCTGAGGGGAAGGATTTGGCCACCTCCTCCCTAGCCCCGTTTGCCAAGCAAGAAGTGGTGCCAGGCGTCGTGGCCTGTCTCTTGGCACGCCCAATTCCTGGGTTGAGAGAGAACTGGTTGATCAGCTGAAATGCTCGCGATGATCAAATACACTGCGGTCTTTTTCGACCCATAAACGTGATGCATCCTCATCCTTCCTTTGGGTCAAGGCATTAAAGTAATGAAACAATACGATGTGGTCAAAAATACTGGCAAATAAGCACGCCTCGTGATCTTTAGTTGTGTACCGTAAATGCTGGCTGTGGCGGCCTAAGGCCAACGACGCTTCACGCTAGCATTTCAAGCTGACCCAACCCAGTCCGCAGCCAGATTTTCCTACATTGTATGTGTATGATATAACACAGATACAAGTTACGCGGAAGTACGAAACGTAGACCTTGCAAAATACGGAGCACTAATAAATATCTCTAAAAAAAAACGCGCTCATGGGTGTTGGTGGGGCAACACGGTGAGGCATTTCCACGCATGACCGTCATATACACGAGTCAATGTCCGGCATCATTCTGGGCCAGTGCCACCATGGTACTACCCGATCATCATCGCGGTTTATGCGATCTCATGAAGACAAGCCAACCATGCCTAGCAACAGGCTTAAACAACCTGAGCTCCACGCCGCGGCTGGAGCCTCTTTCCCATGAAAACCGGGCCCTCCGAGTGACGCCGCCCGTCCGCTGATTCCAGTCTCGTCCCCGGCGTCCGGGCGCAGTGTCCGGCGGCCCGTCCCGTCCGGTGTCGGGTCCCGTCTCGCCCGGCCGCGTTCGACGGCCGGGCCGCCGCGCCCCGTCCCAGCGGAGGACGAGGTCGTGTGGCCGTGAGAGAATGGCCCGCCGGCCAGCCAGGCAAGGCCGCGCCGCCGCCCCGCCACTGCCTGGCCCGCCGGGCGGGCGGCGCTGGTGCCAGCTCGGACGCACGCGGCGGAGCGAGAGGCCCGCTCCGCGCCGGTCCGTTGCAAACGCCGGCGGCGGCCCTCTGAAGCCCTGTAAGCGCTCGTGCCGCGCGACGCTCGCGTCAGGTGGTGCGGTCGTGAGCGCCGGATAACGCCCCGCCACTGGATGCAGCCGCGATGGTGGAGTCCCAAGTTGTGATTGCATGCCCTACAATTTCGCTGAGGTTCGTCCTGCCGACACTGTGAAGCGCTCTTGAAACGCACCATGAACATGCTATATCTTGACAGCTAATATCGATGCACCAAAGGAAATCCCTGGGCCAAAACTAGATTTCTTCCGCTCCCACATCCACGAACCTCGATGGCATTTCAAGATAGCAAGTGGAAATACAGGCTTGTAGTGACCGCAAAAATACCCTTCCACGAAGCTGACAGCGCCTACAGAAACCCAAGCGCCGACCACGGCAACGCGGCGCGCTGGACGCGAGGCAGCCTTCCTGGCGCCCACCAATGGTCCATGGTCTGCGTGACGTCGCCCCATTGTGTCGGTCCGTGAAAGTCCCGTCATACGGAGCCGAGGGGATGCGGCACGGGCTGGTCATCCGCGTTTCTCCTAATGCGTCACAAGGCGCAGGTTCGCATCCGCTTCACGTCAATGATTCATGTTCCCAAGCCCAGTTTAATTTACCAAAGCGTGTACGCACGGACCAATAGGTCTGTATATATAAATGACATTTGGCACGGCACAAAAATGTTTGGTGTTATACGGGGGCGTCACTTTGATAAGAATAATTGACGGCAATATGCGGCAGCTTCAAAAATACAGGGCGGCCCGGATAATAATTACCCATGCTTCCTTCACCAGTGGCGAATGTATTTGTCGCACAACCGGAACTATGGTGGCATGTGACTGCCACTTGAATGACAAAACATGGTCAGCGCTAGTGGTAGTCATCAGTGATTTCACACAGCTTAGGTTGTGACAATAGAAGGCACCAGTTTTAACGACCAGAGAGCACCCGTTTTACTTTAATATGTGGGTACATTGTCGCAGGGTACTCGAAATTTTCCATACACTCTTGTCGGTGCATGTCAGGCCACGCCAATGCGCACGACACCGTATTTTTGCGCCTCAGGTCATCGTTGATAAACGATGAACGACGCTTTTGTCGTAGATCACAAGGACTCAAATTACTAAAATTTGTCTTTCCCGTGAGCTGCACCCCATTCCAAGCCTTTCACAACAATCTAGCTTCATGTCGTCTTGAAATGGAAAGCCACTCGACAGCAGAAAAGGGACTGCCAAAATTCATTTTCAATTTAAATTCAACACCGGGACGCAAATTACAAAGCCGAAATCCGAGGATAAATCGCGTTTTGGTGGTACATTGGGTCAACCTTATCCGTTCAGCTTCTCGTCCAACCGATTTTAAAAAGTGACACCCCTGGCTACAGTCACACAATACCAACGTGAATCATCACACACACAATGCACGCACGCAGATGCGTGCGACGGCCAGAAGAGCTGTAGACAGTTCAAGCGGTACACGAATGGCTTGGCCTCCGAGGTCGGTAGAAGCTTACAACGAAAGGCTATCGTGTACGCCCGGTTACCGCAAACGCGTACCATGTTTTATGGGATTACACCGGAGTGCGGGGGACAAAGCGAACACCGGATGGGCCTAAGCCAACCCGACAGCCGCCAGAAACAGTCGTCTCTAGGGCGAAGACAATGCGCCACCGCCGGGGGTGGGACTCACCTGCGCCGGCTCCGGCACGCCGAAGTCGGGCCACGTGGTGAAGTGGAAGTGGCGCACGACGCGCGAGCTGTCGCCGCGCATCACCTTGAACTCGGACACGGTCCAGTCGGGGAACTGGCTCTGGTTCAGCACCAGCACCTGGATCTCCCCGTAAAACTGCGGCTGCATGTCGTATGGCCAGTAGTGGTCGCACTTCTCGCGACCCTTCTCAACACAGCGCGTCAGCATCACGATGGCGCGCGAGTTGGACTCCCACACCATGCGCCAGAAGTCGTCGCGCGTCGAGTGCAGCGGCCCCTGCGTGACGATGAACTCGCGCGGCGACATGTAGCCCGGCACGTAGTTGGCGTTGATGTAGTCGCTGCCCTCCTCGTCGTCGGTGGGCTGCAGCTTGACGCGCGAGTGGTCGTACGGCAGGATGTTGGTGAAGCGGTTCTTGGGCCGGTTGCAGGGCAGGTCGGCGAAAGTGCACGCCTGGTCGCGGCCGACCTGCTTGAGGTCCTCGTACTCCTCCGAGAAGCGGATATCCGAGTCGGCCGACATGAAGCGGTAGTGCTCCAGGAAGTCCTTCAGCTTCACCGGCCGGCTTGTCTCGATGATGGAGTCGCGCAGCGACATGTCGTCGTCCTTGTGCCGCATCTCCTTGGTCATGTAGAACGGTGCCATGTTGCGGCGCCGCATGATAACGATGACAACCGCGATCAGCGCCAGCAGCACCAGCGGGACGAAGATGGCCACCAGCACGTTGGTGTAGTCCTTGTCCGTTTGTATCGGGTGGCTGTATGCCGTGTCGGCGAACTTGTCGGGCGCCGTGAACGCGCGGATCTTCACCACGTAACTGGTGCCCGGCTTCAGCGGACCGTTGCAGTAGCAGCGCGAGGGCGGCACGCGCTTACACTTCTCGGCGCACGCCGTGTCCGTGCCGATGGTGAAGTCCTCGACGGAGCGGTTGCCGGTGAAAGGGTTGTACGGTACGTTGACCTGGTAAGGGGGCCAGACGGGATACGTCTGCACGTCCAGCCAGTTACGCAGCTCGATGCCGCTCGAGTCCTTACTGTAATCTTCAGCCGCCACGATGCTATAGCCGATCACCGGGCCGTTCTCGTCGCTGAAGTAGTTCTTGCGGAACCGCACGCGAATGGTGGTGTCGTTCTTGGACACCTCCGTGGGGAAGACGCGCGCGTTGGGCTCCGGCGGCGGCCAGACGGGCATGGTGGTCTCGTAAGTTGTGGCTTGGCCGTAGCCAATCTTGGTGCGCGCTTGAATCTGGAACGTGTACGTCAGTCCGGGCTCCAGATCGCTGATGACACCCTCCGACTCGTGCGGTCCAAAGTCCTTCACCAACACGGTCTTACTGCTCTTCTCGTTGTAGGTGATGGTGAAGCCCATGAGAATGCCGTTCTGTGCGTTGTTGGGCAGCGTCCAGCGGAAGCGGATCTGGTTGGGGGTAACGTCGGCGGCAGTGAAGGTGGCCACGCGGCCCGGCACACTCTCCTCGGTCAGGAAGTTGGCCGATAGCGGGTTGGAGCGCTGCATCAGTCGCGACTGGCTGCCGGACAGCGTGCGGATGGTGAACGTGTAGTTTTTGTGCGGTGTCAGCTCCTGGAAGGTGAATGGCGGGCTCACCACCATGTTCTTGACGGACGCCTCACCCTCGCCCTGGTGGTACACGTCGAAGCCGTCCCACTCTCCGATCGGCTGGTCCCAGGTGAGAGTCATCTCGACGTCCGTGATGCGCGTGGCGTTGATCATCGTGATCGGCGCCGGGAACAGCCGGGTGTCGCGGAAGTAGGGCAGACTCGTCACGCTGCCCGAAACCGTCCACATCGTCACGCGGTACACGCGGCCCGGCACAAGGTCCTTGAAGATGAAGTTGCGGTTGGGGTCGTCGGCCATGCGCTCCTCCTTCGGCACGACCGGTCGGCCAGGCTCGTCCGCGTCTGCCAGCTCGCAGCGGTACCGGTCGAACGTGGTGCCGGCGGCCGGCGTCGGCGTGTAGGTGATGGAAAGCGTGCTCGGCTCGGACACCTCGTTCACGAGGATCACGGTCGACTGGAAGAGCGGCAGCGTGCGCTCGTTGATAGTGATCTTCTCACTCTGCTGATCATGCGCCGTCGAGTAGATCTCGAAGAGGTACTGCTCCCCGGGCCGCAGCCCGGTGACCGGTACGGCCATCTTGCCGGCGGTCAGCGTCTCGCCGACGGTGATGGTCTCCTTCTTGCCCGGCTCGTCGATCGGCCACCACGAGACGATGTAGTTGTCCACGTAACCGTCGGGCACCTGCCAGATGAGCGTCACGTTGCTGGAGTCGAGGAGCACCTGCACGTCGCCAGCGTGCGTCTTCGCCGGCCGCAGCGTCTCCTCGACGGAGACGGGCCGCCACGACTCGACCTTGCTGGAGACGGCCGTCACCTGCAATGTGTAGCGGTAGCCGGGCAGCAGGCCGCGCACTGTGTAGCTGGTGTTGGTCGTCATCGGCAGCTCCGTCCAGCGAGAGTCGGTCGTGCTGTAGCGCACGATGTAGCCATCGTAGATGGAGTCGCGCGGCGGGCGCCAGGCGAGCAGCACGCTCTGCGCCGTCACGTCCGTCACGTTCAGGTCACGCACCGGGTTGGGAAAGACGGCCTGGTAGTACTTGTGCGGGTCGCTCCAGAGGTTGTGACTGATGGCGAAGATGCGGATCTCGTACACGGCGCCCGGGTAGAGGTCCCGGAGCTCCGCGCGCGGCCGCTCCGTCTCTACCGTTTTCTCCACCTCGGTGTCGTTCCTCGTGTATATGACGGCGTAGTGGTCCTGCCGCGACGTCACGTCTGACTTCCACGAGATGTTCAGTCCTTCGGGGATCGGCTCCAGGTTCTCGATGATGGGCGTGGCGGGCTTGGTGGACTGGAAGATGGCCACCTCCTCACTGGCCACGCCATTGCTGACGGCCGCCACACTGATGCTATAGTTGCGGCCTGGCAGCAGGTTATCGACGCTGAACTTGGTGTCGCCCACCACTGTCGTGCTCGAGTCACCATTGAAGGTCTCCCGCTCCTGGTATGTGATCCTGTAGTGGTCCTGGTAGCTGTTTGGGTCTGGCTGCCACTCCACAAAGATCTCGCCAGTATCCACATTTGTGGTGGAGTTCATACCAACCACAGGAAGAGGTCGGGTGGTAACATTACCTTCTGCCGGCCAGGATGCCACATTGACCGACACAGCTTTCACCATCACCTTGTATGTCACACCTGGATCCAAGCCCTCAGAGAAGAGGGCAGATGTCACTTGTCCCCGCTCAATAATCTGGGGTGCTTTCTTCCTTGTATCTATGGACACTGAGTACCTGTCAAATTCCACAAAGCCCTTGGGAGGCTGCCAATTCACAATAAATGACCTTGGCTTCAAGGAGTTGCGATCAAAGGTCACATTTCTGGGTGCCAGTGGCACAGTCCTGTACTGTGCAGTAGTTGGAAGGGAGACCTGATCAACACTGAGAGTCTGGACAGATATGTTGTAAGGCCGGCCTGGTGTCAGCCCATAAAAGGCTGCCTGTGCTGGTCCTGGTGGTTCTCCTTCTTTCTCCACCAGGAACACACTGTCAGGAGCATCTGGTGGGTCAATTGAAACCTTGTACTTGGAGTATATTCCAGCAGGGTAGGGTGGCTGCCACAGCACCAGCATTGTAGTCTCATTTCTGAACCACACAATGAATCTTCCAGGGGTGTTGGGTACTGTTGTCACATTTTTTGATGCGGCATCTACACTCTCTGCATCACCAAATTGTGAATACAGCTCAAGGCCATATGAAGCCCCCGGGGTCAGGTCACGCAGTGTAAAAGGCGATGACTCGATGATGGTGCTATTATGCACTGACTTCTGTGGCCCAGAAAATGGAATGACCTTCAGCTTGAAGCCAGAAGTACCACCGGCCTTTGAAGGCACCCATGAGACCTGGACAACTTTTCCTGACCTCACATTCACTGTAAGATTTTCTGGTGGATTGGGCCTGGTGTCAAGAGATTCAGACCATGCTGGCCAATCTGAGAAGGTATCATTGGTGAGATATAAGAATACTTCATACTTCTTGCCAGGCAGAACTTTTGTTAAGGTGATACCTCTTCTAACTTGCAGTGGAGTGAATGTGGCATTGGGTGCTGGGTAGCCTTCAGGTGGCCAGTAGTCCAAGCGGTAACTTGCGCGCTCATCCTGTATGTCGAATGGGACCTGAACAACCAGATCTGTAGCTGATCCACGGCAAATCAGCAAGGAGATGCCAAAAAGCAGTGCCACACCTGCACCAGGGGACCGAATCCAGGTCATCGCTTTAAATGCCAGCACTGTCCTTTCGTCACCTAACCTTGACAACCGAAGCACGACTTGGGCATGTTCCTTCGCGTCACATCACTGCCATTCCGACTTCATAGATCGTGCTGTGGAAGTTCCATCCCTGAGCTCTTCCACTTCCTCAACAACCGTCCAAGTCCGCTGATCCCACTTCCAACCAACATACACACACCCGCCCGCGGACGACGCTTGCAGCGCTCAGTCGCTCCAGTTGTGAAAGTTGTTGACGCAAAAGCGATGGGTGACCGCGCTAGAATTATCGAAATCAACCAGCATGGTTAATGTTCCATTTCCCCATACACTTAGTCGTAAAATAGCACAAGGCTTCCCTAAAATTCAGATTTGTAATAATTTATTTAATTTTACAACCCAAGTAATGGTAGGATAACGGACCAAACTTGCATTTATCGATGCTATAATCGATAAGCTGCGAACCTATAATCTGGGGACTTCTATAGAAGTCGGAGGCCCTTGCGGCGGCCACGTCCGTGGTACGCACATATGTCTGTTGTTAAAAAATGTCACTCCTTGTAAAAATAACGTTTCCGCATTTATCATACCCCAATACCCAGGCCATCGAATACTCATCTCGTTATGCATCAACATCCATCACTTGTGCAAAACTTAACGCTCCAAACCCCATTGAGAGATGTCTTCAAAACGTTAACGGTCTCAAAAAAGCCAACGGCGGAAATTTAACGAAAGTTGGCGGTTCCACGGGTGTCGATTTGTATTTTTTATGAGGCCTTGCCCCCTCCCCCTCCCCATCTTGACGTGCCCCCCCCCCCCCCTCCCCCCAATGTTGACTTGGCCCCCAATGTTTTTGGCGGAAATACTACAAAAACGGGTAAAAGATAGTCATAGCACAAACACTTTCTTCTTTGATCTTTCTGCGTAGTGGCGTCTCGTACCACTCCCATAACAAAAAGTCATGGCTACTCGCACCATAAGATACAGATCGTAACAGCTGAGCGGGTAAATGATGCAATCAACCTCACATTCCTAGCGCCATAAGACACGCGATGGTTTGTGATGTTTAAGTGAAAAGCTCTGAAACATGGGGATAGCCAAAGTCCTTAATGGCTAACCCTGTCCCCGTCTTCCACAACCAAAATGCGTGCCGCCCCCCACGACCGCCAAATAGGAGCGTTATCGGCGCCCTAAGGTGGCCCCTAAAGGGGCCACCTTCACTTGCCGATCAGAAGAGATGCGTGCGTCCAGTGCCTGCTCCCTGGATCCAACCCTGCATAACTCCTCTATTGCCTGAATTAAAGACTTATAACGTATACAAAGATCGAAAACATACATTACGTTAAATAACAAAGCTGGACTAAATCCGGTGAGAAAAAATGGGGGTTGTCGATTCTTCGTTACGCCCCCCCCCCCCCCTCCCCCAATAATTTACCAAAATTGCCACCCTGAACGGTTCTGTTAATTGCTTTCGACGTAAACAGGAGCATGAAACCATTAAAGACAAATTGCTCCATTAAGGAGTAACATAACAGATTCGTGCCCTCTCTGATGATGCGCTAGTGTTCCCCTTGTCAAAGATTTCTACGTCCAGTTTCTAACGTTGTCTAATGGTTTGGCGCCACCTACGTTGCTTATATTATGTAAAGATAATATGTGCATGAACCCCAAAAGTTGTTCTTTGTTTATGTCGAGGCTAATTTAAAATGATAGGCCTGGAGGGGCGACGACACCGTGAAGGACATGTCGGAGCGTTCGCCACAACTTCCAGCATGCTTTTCACGTGTCATGCTTCTTGTGCACCGAAAACGCTCGATGATACACAATTCATGTATTCATGTAATATCTTACCTTAACCGCTAGTCGACCATTTACATGCGCGCTAGCATGGATAAACATTCTCTAAAAAAATCGTAACACTGCATCCAACACGAGCCGAGATACTCTTCACCGGCCATTTACTTCTAAATGGCTGAGCAGTGAGCAGCCTCCACCCGCGCCTAAACGCCGCTGTCGTTTTAACGCATCCAGCTGCTGCCCGCTGCTCAGTCTCAAACACGTCAGCCACGTATGACAGGAAAGCACCAAATACAAATTATCTTTATTTGTCAAAACAGATATGTAGGTGCGTTTTCCAATGCTGATCAACAAGTTTATGAAAGGTGACACATTAAGTACACCAAAGAGAACATTGTGTTCATTAGGGTGCGTCCGTTCTGTACTGCACCCATTTATGTATGTAACTATCCTGTCCCGTAAGGCACGCGCAGGTCAGCAACCGAATAAATAATGAATCTATGGACCTATTCCGTCGCAGTTACGACGCATCGCATTGTCCACCATCCGTCATAAATACGGTACTTTGAATATAACGATGGATTCTCTGGAAAGGAAGCGATTAGAGTTTCGGAGGTACAAGTGAAAGGGATAGTCACAATTTTCGACCACTCTTGTGGAGCTACGCCCGCCTGCCTCCCTCTTATTAAAACAGTGGGGGTGAGAGTGCCCATTCTCGCGGTTTAGAGATCTCTTACGCTTATTTCGGATATACAGGTAAGCTTTTCACGAAAGTGGCATTGCGGTTCTAGCGTTCACATTGATCAATTCTCCAGCCGTGTTCCTGAGCTCATCTTACCACCGGGCTGATACTGCTCTGGTCATTCCAGAACATATTAAAAATTAACCCTGTAAAAGTATCCTTTTAGGTTCACCGAAATTAGCCACTTCATCGTGATTACCAACGACGTCACGCAACCATTTATTTCACATCCGGACATGCCTTCTTCAAGTTTGGATTTACGGGCGGAATTGGTGACGTAATTTAGCCACAGCAACTCACCCATAACATGAGGTCAGACTAAAGGTGTGCCAATTTGTGGGCTCACGTGGTCGAGTTCTGGAGGCGTCAGTCAGCCACCCCACGTGAGGCAAAAACATACGAATGCTCATGTCTACGGGAATACGTATGCGCCTTTGGCCGGCCACTTACGCCCCGGGGACACAAACGGCTCCTTCCCACGGTCTGAACAGTTGGAAATAAAGTGTTGGACTCGACAATGCGTGCATGCTGTGAATGTATGCACCACCGCCATGTAGATAACATTGAAAATGCACGCACGGAAAATGCCGAGTGCAGCGGATGGGGGTAGGCTGGACCCAAAATGAAAACAACTTAAAAAGTACGAAAAATGTACCGATGACCCTCGCAATGTGAACCGAACACAACAGATTTGGAAGAGTGGTGTAGGGTTTGACTTACTAAGCTACATCAATCTGGTTTGTTATCATTGCGCGTCTTTTGATAAGGACCGTTGAGTTTCTACCCATGGACATCGCCAGAAGCTCGTCAGGAGGGGGGGGGGGGGGGGGGGTACGCCGGCCAAGCCTAGAAGTGGGACTGGCGACTGACATTAACGTGGGGCGTCCAGGTAGGCAGTGTGAGAGATGAACACCTTTGAAGGCAAACCTTTGCCATGTACCAGTGTAGGGCTGACGCTAAGCACTCAGAAGAGGGTGTATGGGTCCGTCGACCCCCCCCCCCCCCTCTCGCGGTTTCCACAACCCCGCGTCCTTGGGTCTGCGGCGACCGGCGGCACCCCCGTCTGTTGGGGCAGCGACGAGCGGTCTGTCTTCTGAACGGCTCCATGCATAAATCCTAGGTTTGGCCCTCCTAGATCATCGGATACCCCTCACCGTCCCCCGTCAAACCCCGGCGGGCCTTCCCCTGAGTGTCCGACAGGGGGCCCACATTGGGAAGCTTTGACAGACTTCCAAGGTCCCGGCAATTATTCCCGCGCTCGCAGACACAAAGAAAGCGTCAATCAAATTACTCATCGTGCCATGTCCCGACGTCCATACGTCCAGCTTCCAACAAAGCCGTGTGTGTGATTCGTTTCCTCGATGTCGGTGTATTGAACAGGCTCGTGATTCACTCACAGCCCAGTGCGAAGCCACCAGGTACGAACAGCACTATCGCCAGTCACAAGCACAATGATAGCATTGGAATTTGCCTGAGAAAGCACAAAACCTACTGGTGCAAGAGCTTTGCATACCCAATGCACATAGACCCGTGGTTATGGATGAACACTCTGGAAATTGATTGAGGTTAATATGCTGTCATCAGGCAGTTTATTGTGCACGCATAATACCGACGAGCCCTTGCTAACGCATCGTGGCCAATCCGCACCTCTAAACCTCTGAGTCGCACCCCGCCGGAAAGCTCACAGCACACCCATACCGATGGAGTCTCTCGCCCGACGCCGGCCACGAGGCGCCTCGTGCGACTCGACCGACAGGGCGGGGGCTGACAGTCGGCGAGTCGAGCCGCCTCAGCTCGGCCAGTCCTCCGGCCTGGCCGCGTCCACGGCTTCACGCGCACCCGGTAGAAGCGCGTGCCGCGCGCGCACGTGGTACCGGTTGCCCTCCTCTTCGCCTGGCAGAACTCGTGGCTTGACCACCTCGGCGACGGCGTATTGACTGGCGCGCTCGTCTGCGCGCTCAGGCCAAGCGCTTCGTAGCTGTCCGAGTGGACGAAGTAGAGCAGCGTCGCCTCCTGGTAGACGACGGTAGTGGCGTCGTTCGGCGTCCCACACGACTAGCACCACGTCACCGTCGTTGCACGTGAGCACGGACACCTGGCCGCGGCTCCAGCAGGCCGCTGGGTGTCTGCGCGACAGCTGCATGCGCATGGCCGCTCGTTGTCGCGGCTGCAGCCGCCCGCACACTGGGAACATCGGGCGCCGCGCCCCGCGCTCCGCTCCAGCTGCAGCGGCGGTTCTCGCTGTCGCAGCCGGTAGGGGACGAGGAGCGAAGATAGGGCAGGAGGCGAGCAGAGCGAAGAAGATTAACTGAAGTAGAGGAGAAGACGAGAGAGGCTGATACACCGAAGCAGGTCGAGCTAGGCCAGCAGTGGGAGGCGGCGCAGCCGCCTCGTCGGCCCGCTGCTTGCCGCTCGCCTCCGACTGTGGCGAGCCCAGCGGCAGGTTCTCCG